CTGCCTGTGCTTGGCCTTCAGTGCCTGGCTGGGTGGCTTCCTGGCCTCCTTCGTGTCTATGGCTCTCATCTCCCGCCTCAGGTTCTGTGTCCCCAATGTCCTCAACCACTTCTTTTGTGACATCTCACCCCTGCTGCAGCTTTCCTGCTCTGACACTACTGCCATTGAAATTTTGGACTTCGTGGCAGCCCTGGCTGTACTCGCAACCTCCCTGCTGGTGACCACAGTCTCCTATGCACGCATCCTGGCCACAGTGCTGAGGGTCCCGGGATGGGCTGGCCGCCGGAAGGCCTTCTCCACCTGCACCTCCCACCTGGTGGTGGTGGCCACCTTCTATACCACCACCATCTTCATGTACGCCCGGCCTCATGCTGCCACCTCCTTCGACCTCAACAAGCTGGTGTCCGTGGTCTACTCAGTTGTGACTCCACTGCTCAATCCAGTCGTCTACTGCCTGCGGAATCGTGACATCAGGGAGGCTCTGGCCAAACTCCTCCAAGCCCCTGGTCCCTCCTGAGCACCAGCTGCAGGAGGAAGAACTTCCACATGCCTCTCCTCTCATCTGCCCGCAGCCTCCAACCCACCACAGGCCACAGCTCTCTCACCCAGAGACAGAGCTGGTCAGAAGCACAGAGTGTCTCAGCAGGGGAAATGCCAAAGCTTCCCACCACCTCTCCCAGAGAACGTCAGCGCCGGAGCAGGGTGGGGGGGCCCAGGAGACCCCAGCTCACAGGAAAGCTCCCCTTCACCGTCACCCCCTTCACCACCTGGGACCTAGCCGGTTTCTATGGGAGCCAGCCTCTTCCTGGCTCTCCTGGGCTCGGACTGCCCTGTCCCTAAGCCCACCTGGATGGCCTCCATTGCCTGAGGTCCCGGCACCTTAGAGCAGACTCTGTAACCAACCTCAGCTGGCCAGATGTAGACTGTGTCCTGGCAAGTCCAGACAGTGCCACAGGCCACACACATGCCACCTTTCCTCAGAAATAAGGATGCCATTCTATTTAAAACTTAATGGGTCTAATGAATAGATGGCATACCCATACCTGGTTTTTCTGCCTTTCTTCTCCGGCACTTGGGTACAGAAGTGGGTTGGCCCAGCACTCGCCTTATTGGGCTATTGTCACTGTCAGGGTGAGTGCTTCTCACTTGATCCCCTTGTTTCTCACACTCCAGTCCCCATCAGGACCTCTAGTGTGATGTTTAGTGTGAACCCTCGGACACATGTATGCATGTGTATTGCCTTGCATGTGAGAATTCTATGTTCACATAAATGATTTTGTGCTGTAAATATTCTCTTACTGGGGCACCTGGGTGGCTTAGTCATTAAGCATCCGACTCTTGGTTTCAGCTCAGGTCATGATCTCACAGTTCATGGGTTTTGAGTCCCAAGTAGGGCTCTGCACTGACAGTGCAGAGCCTGCTTGGGATTCTCTCTCTTCCTCTCTCTCTGCCCCTCCTGCACTCATGCTTTCACACTCTCTCTCTGTCTCAAAATAAATAAGTTTTTAAAAATAAAAAATAAATATTCTTTTACTATTTTGTTTTACATATTTTGAGGTTATGCCACTAGGTACATAAAATTTAGAATTGTTTTGTCTTCTTGGTAAATTTAACTTTTTGTCATTAAAAAGCATTACTCTTTTGGCTAGAATGAGCAAATCAGAGGACTCTAGATGCTGGCGAGGATGTGGAGAAACGGGCACCCCCCTACACTGTTGGTGGGAATGTAAACTGGTGCAGCCCCTCTGGAAAACAGTGTGGAGGTTCCTCAAAAAATTCACAGTAGAACTCCCCTAGGACCCAGCAATAGCACTGCTAGGAATTTACCAAGGGACACAGGAGTGCTGATGCAGAGGGGCACATGTACCCCAATGTTCACAGCAGCACTCTCCACAACAGCCAAAACATGGAAAGAGCCTAAGTGTCCATCAACGGACGAATGGATCAAGAAGATGTGGTTTATCTATACCATGGAATACTACATGGCAATGAGAAACAATGAAATCTGGCCTGTGTAGCAACATGGATGGACCTTGAGGGTGTTATGCTGAGCGAAATAAGTCAGGCAGAGAAGGGCAGATACCATATGTCTGCACGTATAGCAGGATTAGGAGGAACTTGACGAGGACCGTGGGGGAGAAGAAGGGGGACATCGTGGGGGAGAGGGAGAGAGGCAAACCATGAGAGACTCTTGAATGCTGAGAACAAACTGAGGGCTGATGGGGGTGGGGGGGAGGGGGGTGATGGGCACAGAGGGGGGCACTTGCAGGGATGAGCACTGGGTGTTATATGGATACCAACTTGACAACAAACTATTTTTTTTAAAGTGTTACTCTTTGTCTCCAGTAATGCTTTTTGCCCTAATCTATAAGGCTTAAAGTTCGCTTGGTCTGGCGTTGAGAGCTATGTCAGCTCCCTTTTCGTTCACCATTGCTTGTGTGACATGTGTTTTCACCTGCACCAATACTTAATCTATTGCCCTTAGCTTCTGACCACCGTCTGTTGTCAGCTCTGTGAGGCTGCGCAGGAACTCCACAAACCACTTTCTGTGTTCTCAGCTGCTCCCTGGTTCTGTGGAGAAGTCAGTTTATTTTTACTCGCTTTAGGTATTTAGGGTTCCCCCCACTTCAGGAAGCTTTCAAGATCTTGTGTTTGGTTTCCAGGGTTTGCTTTTCCTTATATTTATCATGTTTGCAGTTTGTGATGCTTCTAGAATTTGTGCCTTGCCTCCTTAGTTTTTGAAAACGATCCACCTGTGTGCCCATAAACACTGCACCCGCCACATCCTTTCTCTGCTCTCCTTTTGGTTGCCCTGGTCCGTGCAGGGGGGCCTCTGTCTCATCCCTTCTGCCCTCAGCAGCCTGTTGTGTACCCTTTCTTTCTTTCCATGCTTTCTTCTGGATATTTCCTTCTGATCTTCCCAGTTACTAATTCTCCCTACCCATATATAAACTCTGTTTTTAAGTGTATTTTTTGAGTTCTAGAATTTCCATTTGGATCTCTTAGTTTCCTGCCCTCTTGTCAAAACCCTCAATCTTGTTTTATGCCTGTAATAAGTGTAAGTTCCTCCATGAGTCTGTTAGTGACACCCTCGTTTGCCTGTACTGGTCTCTGTCTGTTCCTAGCTGGGTTGTTTTATTACCGTGACTTCCTATAACATCTTAATATCTGACAGGAGGAGCCCTTCTTTGATCTTGGTTTTCAGAATGAGTTACATTAGGCCTTCGTTCTTCCACACGGACTTTAGGAACCCTTGGCTCTCGATTAGTTTACTCAGGCCACCACAACAAAGCGCTACAGACCCGGCAGCTCCAACAGCAGAAATTCATTGTCTCACAGTTCTGGAGGCTGGTGGTCTGAGGCCGGCGGGGTAGGGCTGGGTCCTCCTGAGGCCTCTCCCCTTGTGAGAGGGAGGTCTCCTCTCACAGACGGCCGCCTTCTCCCCAAATCCTCACAGCGTTCTCCCTGGGCGTGTCTGTGTCCTGATCTCATCATATAAGGACACCTGGTAGATTAGGTCAGGCCCCGCCCCCCTATTGACCACGTTTCACCTCGGTTACCTGTGTAAAGACACTATCTCCAAATGCAGTCACGTTCTGAGGTTCTGGGGGTCAGGACTTCAACACAAGAATTAGGGAGCGGGGGCTGTGTGTGGAGCAGCAGTTCTGAGCCTCTGGGGATCGAGAGGGTCTGATGGAAGCTAAGAGAGGTCACATGACGTTACAAATGAGATCGTGGAGCCCCCTCCTAAAGCCATCAAGGGGGCCTGGTGTCCCCCCCCCCCCCAAGTGCAGTGTCTGGGGTGGAGGCCTGGTGGGAGGGGAAGAGACCCTAGAGACCTGGACAGCAAGATCGCACCCTTTCCAGAAGGCCCAGAGCCAGACCAGCAGGGACTGGAAAGGCTGGCTGGCTCGGCAGCGGGGCTCCAAGTGACCTTGCTGTGGGGTGGCCACCGTGGGGACGGGAAGAAGAGACACTCTGGGGACCTGGAGAGCCACCCTCTCTTCTCTGCGCCTCCCGGTGGAGAGCCCTGGACGCCGAGACCTAGAGCTAAGGGTCTGTGGTCCCCGTGTCTGGGACCCATCACCTGGGGCAGCGATGGAGACGGAGAACGTGGGGGGCCGGGGGGGGGGCCCGGGGGGCGCCGGGGGGGGGGGGG